TAGTCTCTTTTTTTTTTTTTGTTTGGCAATTTTATTTAGGTTGATGGTTAGTCATGGTAGTTTCGCGTTTGCAGTTACCCGGATTAACCTTAGACACTTGCAGGTTTCACCACTGCTGGATGGTTCTGCACAGGAATGGCTTTGGAATAACACACAGCCGCTTGTCAAACAGTGATCCTGTCATGTCTATCCATTATTTCTGCTAGGTTGTTTCGAGTGGTGAGCTCTCTGTGCCTATAATACAGGCATCATTTAACAGCTGCTTGTCAACATTTTTGTTACGTATAGTTTTATGGGAAACATTCAAAGATGTAATAGAATTTAGATGCTCACGACCAGCCATTTTATGTCCATGTTGTCTTAAATAAGAAACTGGAGTGTGCTAAACTGTGGATATACTAGTCGTATTCTCAAGGATCTTCAAGAATCTGACTTGGTTGCTTTTCAATGTCGTCCTCAAAATGATATGACACACCAAGATGGCATGGTAGGATAATGTTTTCAATCGGCCGGATCCCTCCTAGAAACCACTGATACATCCGTCCCCTCTTCTTTTAGGGCTTCTACTTGTCTTGTATATGATTCAATTTCCTCAACAAAAGAATAGATTTCAATTCGGTATATCACAATTAATATTGAACAAAATAAAACAATAACATTTTTTGTAAATCAATATTAATTTGATCAGTAGAATCAACATGCAAATGGGAATGCAATCACATGCAAAAGCGAAACATCCCAACTATTCAACTGATAAGCAGCCGCTGGACTAGCACTACTGGTTAACATGTTTTTCTTAATCAATATTAATTTGATTGGTAGAATCAACATCAAATCGCCGATGATCGTACATGGAGCGGTGACAAGAAAAGAATGTTTTTGATTTATCAAGTTACGTGTTTGATTTTTATACTTCGAAAAGTTTTCTTTTTTTTTTTTTTTTGTGCGACTAACATGGGCTGTTAATAAATTTAAAGAGTTTAATCCTTACAAGCAATCAAAAATTAAACATGATGTGACATTGATTTGATATAAAAAATAAAAATTTAATCTGAATCTATGTAAAAATTGACGTAAAAATATCTTATTATTACATGATGATGCATAAAAAATAAAAAAATAAAAAAATCAAGATCCAATGCAATTGCAAACACATACAAAAACATTGCATCTTCCCATTATCTTTAGACGTCAAATATTTAGGTGGCTGGATTTTCCGGATTCCCTAGGAGCTGTTTAAGGTAGAAAATTAGTTTTAATTTATGAGCTTAAGTTTTGTGTAGAATAGATCCAATCAATAAAATTACGCCTCCACTTACCTCGGCCGAAGTTATTTCTCTCTATAAATAGCCAGGATTTGATCAATGGAATCAAGATATAAAATGGCTATCAGAACACATTTGTCACATTACCGTTTCGATGTACGTAGATGGATTCTTAGGTAAGATCCTCCATTTTTGCCTTTCGAGCTTTGCTTCATTTTCCAATTTGAAAGCGGTAACTAATCTTCGTTTTCCTAGTTCATTCTATATTATTAACCATGATGCATGTATTAATTAACTTTAATGTTTGTGCAGGAATTTAGTCGAATTGCATGTAGAAGCGCTAAAAGAAAAGGTCATGAAAGGATATGTCAGTGGCTTCTACAAGGGAATCCCTTCTGTATATGCATGCCTGTCATATCTTTTTTATTTTATGTTTTTGATATTTACATGTAGTGAGTTATTTTCGATTCAACTTTCGTCAAGTTCATCACTTTTTGAGATAGATCGATATCATATTACGTTTAGATTTTCGTCAAGTTCAACACTTTTGAGATAGATCAACATCATATTACGTTTAGATTCTAATCGATTATAAAGAAAACATTTTTGAGTTCACCATCAGCAGTCTACCAACAGTCTATATCTAGTGCTGTACAGAAAAAGGAAGTTTCATGTCATTTTGTGGACGATAATGGAAAGCAACTTTGATGCCTTCCCTAAGTTCCATGAGAACAACGACTATCATGACGTCTATGCTTCACACAACATGGTTATATAATGTGGACTGTTGTGAAACAGATGGGTTCGACAAATTCAAAGACGGCGAGGCAAGGAGTTCAAGGAAAGCATTAACAATGATGTGAGAGGAATTCTTGCTTGTACGAAGCTGCCTGAATACAACCAATTGGAGTGTGCATGAAGAAGACATTCTAGACGAAGCCTTTGTTTCTACAAGGGTAAACTTGGAGTTCCTGGCTTTCAATCAAGCCCACATCCTGCAAACTTAAGGGCTTCTTCCAGAATATCTTCTCCATGCACACTCAAATAGGAAGTTTTTCATGGAGTTATTGGCTAAAGGGCTTCATCTAGAACTTACACTTTTCTCTTTCCATGAAGAAGAAAGATTTTAGTAACGCAACCCTACTGAAGTTTGCAGGGTTAGATTTTAATTATGGGTTAGAGTACTCAAGCAAGCCCTGTACGGTGCCTAAATCCTGCAACTCATGTAGTTGAACAAAGTCCAACTTCGCCAACTTTAGCAGAGTTTCCTTACAAAATTGTACGTAGCCTTTCATATTCACCTTCATGGTCATTAATGGAGGACTGTGAGTAGAAGAATAACTTAGAAACAAATCTCTGCTAACTTCGAGCAGTGTGGAGATGTAGAAAATATCAAGCGAGGTTGTTGTAACTACACTTTGAATGTTTTTTTGCCCCCTTTCTATGTTTTATTCTGCTGTATTGCAAATTTTTCTAACAGATCTCAATACTGATCTTGAAATTTTTCTTCTGGGCATGGTATTTTGAGCTATTATAACTTTAATTAATTGATATTTTCTCGGGTCAGAGATTCTATATCTGATGAGGCCATGTTTCTGACCCGTATACCCATATTTGATTCGGTTATTTTTTAAAGATTAGTTTTTATGACACTTGATTTATACGTGATTTACATTGTTTTATTAGTATTATTATTATTATTATTATTATTTAGATGAATAAAATACTAATATATAAAACATTGCATAGTAATTGGTACGAAGTTTTAATAATTTATTAAGATTTAATATTTTAGAAAATCACGAACTATACATATTTTAATGATTTTAGCTTTTTTTAAAAAAAATTATATAGAAAGGTCACCAATTAAGCATTCGATAACAATACTAGTACCGATTTAATTTTCAGATCAAAATTTCGATCAACGCTAACATTACGATCTACGTAAGCATGACACGTGGGCTTTAGCAAACCATGTAGGATCCACGTAATTGATTTTTCACATCATGTTTATACGAATCCTCTATGACTTGTTAAAGTTCACGCATCATGCGTACGTGAATTGTCATGTCAACGTTGATTGAAATTTTGATCAAAAAATCAAATTGTTGCTAGTATTGTTATCGAAGGCTTAATTAATTGGTGACTTTTTATATAATTTTTAAAAAACGAACTACAACTATTAAAAAATGTATAATTCATGATTTTTTGAAACATTAGACCATTTATATATATATATATATTCTCTCATTTTTTTCTTTTTTTTAATTGATATCAAGATGATGGTCGATCAAGCATTCATGTGTAGTAAATCATAACATATCATAACTAAAACGAAAATATATAATCATGAATTTCTATCATTCAATGGCAATGGAATAACATTTTTATAAAAAGAAAAATAGATACGGCCATAGTTTTGACTTAATCAGCATTAGGTTATATTTTTATCTATGTAGTTGATTTTTCTTTAAAAAAGATTTTATTATTACACAAACATACAATTATTAATGATTATAACATGTCTCTAATTCAAACAATATTTCTACTTTTACGCATTTGGATTGATTATATATATATATATATATATATATATATCAGAATATTTTATGGGAATTAGTAATCAAGTATAAATTATCTTATAAGGTTAATTTATTTAGTTCATAAAGATTTTAAAGGAATTTTTTTCCCAAACTTAATGACTCATGATTTGAGAAAGCCCACCTCCTAAATATGGAGATCCTCTATAATTCCAACATCTCAAACAATTTAAATTACTTTTATCTCAACTGTAATATTTAATAAAGGGCATTGTAGAACACAACTAAAAAAATCAAGGCTTAATTTTAACATCATCATAGATTGGAAGATCCCTCAATCAATTTATGTATAACCGATGGAGTATCTTTGCACCCATTAAATTGGTTATATTGTATTAAGTATGCTCTTAGATTACTATATATTTACTAAATTTACTTTATATGAAAATTTAATTTATATGATTTGCTTGAATTCTAAGATTATAAAATTTAATTAAAAATTATAACTAAAATGCAAATATATAATGATGCACTTTCATATCAATAAAACAACTCTTTTAAGATTTTCTCATTAAATGCGAGGTTAATTGATCATCTACCCTTATACATTAGACGCATTTTTTCATATACTCTCTTAAGAATTCTTTTTTTCTTCCATATGCTCTTATATATTCTTATTTTCTCCTATATGCTATTTTTGTCTCTCTTTTTGACCAAAATACCCTACAACCATTTCATAAACAAATTAATTTTGAAAAAACGCAAAAAAAGTGAAAGAACAAAAACATTAAAATACTTTAAATAACATGAAAACACCTATAAAAAAAACCATAAATATAAGAACATTAAAAAACATAGAAAAGATGTAAAAGTTTAAATAAAAAATAAAAAATAATATTAACTTATCAAGTCTTAAAAATAGAAAAAGCATGTCCATAAAACCTCTTAAATAGACGACAAAAAAATAAATAAATTTTGAACATGGAATTTTCAAATTATTCATTAGTTTCTAATGTTCAACCCAAATTCAACGTGTTGGGAGGCATAACGAGAATCATTTGTTTTGTAGACCACGAGGACGAAGAAACATTCTCGACCTCAACTAATGATTTTGCAGAAATCATGAAGAATAACAGATTTCTACTTTTATTTATGTTCCAGATTTTCTGTCGATAGATAAAAATCTTTGTGGAACTCAAAATGTTGCAACAACAGCAGCTAATCTCATCCATGGAAGATCTTCAGAATATTCAGCCAACAGTTGGACAACAGTCAGCCGCTTATCTTTTTACGTTCAAGTGTCAAGATCAGTGAATTCAATGGAGATCTTTTCTCTAAGCTGCAAATACGGTAAACTCGTTACAACTTACGCGGCTCTGGTTCGGATGCAGAAAGTTCAGCATACATGTTTGATATTGCTTTGGCAAAGTATTCCTTCGCTTGTGGCCTCTTGACCTGCAAGAAACCCAAATCAAAACACAAAAGAAATTCCCCGTCCATCTATTGCTGTCACATCTTGGCGCTAGAAGTGGCATGTAAGAATCACAATACGAAAGCGTACAACTTTTTACCACTCTTTACATCCAAAATGAGTACCGAGGTTGTCCATGGCCAAACTTACAGTCCAGGCCTAAAGTTATCTAAGACAATGTTTAGTGACAGGTTTACCTTAAATGTCGGCGTGAGTAGTCCATTCTCCATGGTGAATGGTTCAGGCACCAAAGTTACAGCTTTTGCAAATTCGAAACCTCTCAGCTGTACATTTGCAAGTGAGTAAAGATAAATTGAAGGAAAGTGCAAATTGAGGGGTTACAGAGCATATTTGTCTAGAAAAGTTACCTGAGCTTCCTTTCCAACCATATCCATGTCAGCTAGAACCGCAGCCCTTGCTCTTGGATCATTGCATAATTGTCCTAAATTGTCAAACTGAACAGGGAAAGTTCAGGAAAATCAGAGAGTAGTCAGAACTATGTCATTTGGCCATTAATGATCTCATGTACCTTCAAAAAAGGAGTTCAATACACAGTTTTTAAGTGGACAAATCCACTTTCAAGAATTTGACCTGCCATGACATCTCAAGGCTTAACACTGGCAAGAACTTTTGGACTGAATATCATGCACGGTTAAAATAAATTAAGTCCGGAGTTTGGCCTACAGCATTCATGGACAACATGCATTCATAAATTGCAGCCTTCGCAAAATTGAGGGTAGGTGTTATAAACCACAGGAACTTGTCAAAGAAAATATTTGCCGAGAATAAATTGAAATTTCCAGAGTTGCTCTTAACAATTTGTAGTAAATGAAGAAAATAATATTTGGGAAAATAATTTCAGTATGCTTTTTAATTACACAACTACAGATATATATATAAAGAGAGAGAGAGAGTCCTAAGATAGGAAAGAATTCCTAAAGAATAGGAAGATAGAATAGGATCCCTACAGAATAGGAAAGAATATACAAAATATTTCCTATCTAATTCTATCCCGATATTTCCTACAGTAAATAATGATGCAACATTTCAAACCAGCATGTCCTGTTTCATAGTTTGCTCTTATTATGCTTCTGACATAAAGAAGCCATTGATGATCTAACATGAAGTGAATCATGGAGAGAATCAATCATGGAGAGTTAACAGCCAGTATTAGAATCCCAACCAAAAAGTCATTGGTTATATAACACTCAAAAAGACTTCTGACTCAAGTTCCCAAAGTGAAATTTGTCACCAACTGGAAAATAATTAACCACCTACATTGATCCCTTCAGATGCAGCCCAATCTCTCAAAAAATCTGGATCCACTGCCGCTACAGCCACTAAAGAGGAGTTGAAGCTATCACCTGCAAAAAAATTAAGCCATCAGAGAATAAATCATAACTAAGAAGTTTGATATTCAATGTTAAACCCATGCTCTTACCATATATAAAACACTGTGAAATAAATCTGCATTTTGTATACACATTCTCAATCTTCTCTGGTGCTATGTACTCACCCTGTGCCAACTTGAAAATATTCTTTTTCCTGTCATAAATTATGTTTTAATACAGTGACAGGATTCAAAATCCAATCTATATATCGTGGGTATTGCTAGAAGGACCACATATCCAAGATTAAGATATTAAAAGCACATTGTTAGTATTTTCGTTCATCTTTGCACACAAAACCAAGGTAAACAACCAACCTATCAATAATCTTGAGGCGGCCTCCAGGTAACCACAACCCAATGTCTCCTGTATGCAGCCAACCATCATCATCGATTACTTCTCTCCTGTCCAATTAAGCCAGGAGTCAGGTAGACTAACCATTTGCAAAACATCCAAGTACAAGATCTAACAGGATACTTAAGTTGATTACGTTTGGACTTCGGCTTTGTAGTAGCCTTTGAAGACAGTGGGACCCCGGACACAGATTTCTCCACGAGGATGTGGCTCATCCTCAGAGGTGTAATTCATTTCAGGAACATCCACCAGTTTTATTTCTGAAAGAGAAATATAAATGTGAATCATTATATATTACAAACTTACACACTAACTGCACAGGCACACAAGATAGAGGATCATAAACAACTTCTAGTAGGAATTTGATTATCTACTTTTCCAATAATCACTTCAGCATGTACATAAAGGGCCTTTTGCTGGGTTTAGAGACTATAATTTCCATCAAGACTCAACCATGTCAGAAAATCTGAAAGAAATCATCTATCCTAAATAGGTCATAAAGCCAACATGTGCACATAGAAAATCAAGAATAGTATTAGAGTTAAGAATTTTAACTCATAACCTGCTGTCATATCCATGAGAGAATCACAGAACATACAAGAAAGAGCCTGCCAAAGCCTACAGGTTGGTCCTGCATTGGCCAATCATCGTGCAAAATGTCCACCCATTAAACAGCCCTTTGAATTCAAATGGCTAAGTTCTGTAGTTTGATTACCCTAGCACATGAATCAACCAAGCATTCAGACCAACTGCTTGTTACCGGACGATCAAGTGGTCCTAATATTTTCCAGAAAAAACAGAAGTTCTATATCTCCCCTTAAATCGCAAGCCATAATTATGTTGTGTCTGACAATTTCCTAGGAATTCTCTTTTATAGTGTTTAGCCCACTAAAATTTCCCCAACCAAATAACTGCTATTCGTTTTTGGTGAATTCCAACAGTTTCAGCTATACTTCGACTATAGCCTCTGTAACCAAAATTATATTCTTTATATACCATTAGCATTTTTACATCACACCATTTCACCTAGTCAATACTCCTTTCTTCCCTAGAATCCATTGTGTCATTTTATCAAAGAGGTTTACAAGGCACGAGATGTTTTGTACAAATAAAAGGATGTAATTTGTTATAGTTGCCCTTGAAATTCATTATTTCTTGTGTTAATATATGATATCACCAGCTAAAATAGATATTTATCAACTTCAGCAAACTACCACATGTTATTACTTAACCTTGCTATAATTTCATATACCAGCACATGCAGATGGCAAACTTATTATGCTATCAACATCCGAGTATGTATAGAAAAATTTAATTGATTTCCAAGTGAATGTCAACCACTGACCGCAGGCAGGATTTGGAGACCCAACATGGCCAGATAAATTGTCACCCTGGTCCACACTGCTAATGAGACAAGAAGTCTCAGTCATCCCATATCCCTCAAGTACTTGACAGCCAAAGCACCTATAAACCGTGATAAAGTTTGCAGCAAATATATAAATCAGTTACTGATAATGCACATGTGCCCCACCACACCCACCCACAAACACAACGGTGCACATGCACACACAGAGGGAGAGAATTTCAGATATAATGCATTAGGTTACAAATCGACTTACACCCTCAGAAAGTCCATAACATCTGGAGACAAAGGTGAAGCACCTGATACCAAAAACCTCACTCGTCCTCCAAGCTTTTCCTTTATTTTGTTAAATACCAATCTGTCCCACATTGGTGATGGATTCCGACCTGAAGCAGTGATATTAAACATTAACAAAAAGAAACATGCATCCACGCATTATCTAGCTCCTATTTAAGGAATGTAACAGTCTGGTTTATAATCTAATATTAGAACTTCGGTATTTTGGGCTTAAATAATTGTTAAAAGAAAAAAGTTATGTGTTTTGTTCTAACAAATGATTATTCTGGATAGGCCAGGCACCAATGAGAAGATATCAACTATTATATTAAAAAATAGTCATTGGCTATACATACCACTCATCAAAGCTTGCTTCTTAGAGCTGTAGGCAGCTCTAAATAGCCTCTCCTTTAAAACCCCAGAATTTTTCACTGCATTTGTGATTCTGTGACAATCAAATTTATCAAACATGCCTGAATGAACATGCAGATTATAACAGAATAAATTATCCACTCCTCAATCACAATCTTACCCGTCATATATACGGTTATACAGACGAGGAACACTGCAAAATAGTGTCGGTCTTAAAGCAGCCAAATCATCAATCAATTTCAAATTATCCTGCAAGTTTGAGAAACTAATTAGCCACAAATGTGCTTGTATGAGACACCAAAAATGCACCTAGTTAAGCATTGATAAAAAGATAGCTGTATTAACTGCAGACCTGGATTTAGTATTTAGTTTCTTGAAATGTTTGTGTGGTTTCACTACAGGGGTTATTTCATGCTCAGTACAGTTGAAACAGCAACATATCAGATCAGAAGATAGTCTCCTAACACAATATCTTTTGGCCTACTACACCCAAGAAAACTAAAATAGGACTTCTTTACTATGCATAATGACCTCTATAAGGCCTCCCTGGCAAAGTTCTCTACCTCACTACAGCATTCTTGAACTAGGCCAAACCATTAAACTCCTATACCTTCCCTCTATTTCTAGAACCCTAATCCATGCTTCACAAGAAATACTCAATGGAAAAGCCTACAAGTAGAAAATTCTAAATAAAATAGGAATTACAGATGACAAAAGAAAATATATATATTGTCACGTACTCCCTGGTAGAACCCAACAGCAACACCATAGTAAAGTGACACGATCAGGTTAGTTCGTTCATATATGTGTGCCAAAGGAAGATAGGATATATAACTGCAAAAGATAAGTAGAAGTTAAATCAGAAAAGTATACAAATTATCTTCCAACAACGTTCAAGGAGATCTGCTTCATATTATGTAATGAATTGAATATGAAACTTACATGTCTGAAGGATTGAATTTGACTGCTGCGCAGAAACCAGCAACACTAGCAATTAAGTTGCTATGTGTCAAGACAACTCCCTTCCAGAGAAATAGAAGGCCAATCATTGTGAAGATGAGACAGTAGCAGCAAAAGCTGAGAACCATGGTTCAAAAAATGCATATCCTACCTTTGGTGTGCCAGTAGTACCACTAGTATAGCATATGGTTGCAATGTCCTCAGCTTTAGGAGGGATAAAAGGTTGCAGGCTACCACGCCCCTAAAATAAAAATCATTTGTAAGGTAGCAAAATTTTTTACTTTTATGACAGACATTCTCAATTTATATTGCATTGCAGATTGAGAATTGACCAGTCTGATTGCGAATTTTTATTTAAGATAGAAAGCTGATCTACAGTAAAATTGTTATTGAGAAACATTTACAGAGCCATTCTCAACTTCTATTTTGGAATTTTGAATTAAGGTAGAAAGCTTGTCCACAATCAAAATATTACAAGGATTATTGCTAAATATCTAACGTAATAAGCATTAGAAACTCACGAAAGAAAGTGTGTGCCAACTAAACTGGAAAAGTAATAAATTTATTGAACTCATCACCATAATCCTAACAGTTCCACTTGTTCAGTTTATATTGTCGATTTCTTGATACTAAAAACATATGTAGTAATTCGGATCGCTGATTTTTATACCATGGGAGCCAATGATTCATTAGCCATCTAGAGAACAAAATCATTCAAGTTCTTATCAACCATGTACTTTAACATATTTCTTAAGAACAACTGCCAACAATCAAAAAACTCTAGAAGGAATTTCAAAGAGATTCAAGTCAGGGATTCCTCTCAAGCTGTACAATTTTAATATAATTTACATACCAAATTTTTAGCAACATACTCCTAGCCTACTTAAAATAAGAAAGGCAAAGTTTCATAATAAAACTTACCTCACTAAACAGTTTAGCATATGATCTGACCTTCACTCCAGATGCTGAAGGAAATGATGGTAAGTGTTCATCTACACCTCCCACTACCTGCCATAAGGTATACCATACAGAATGAGAATACCGGCCTTGGTATTCTTAGTTGATTAGGAACTTTTTGGAGAGATCATAGAAGCACATACCACTATAAGTCGTACAGATGGAATCTCCGATATGAAGCTAAGCAGCTGCAAGTTTCAGGAGAGAAAATGAGCCACATTGCAAATTCAAATTAAACTAACATCAGATCTGCTAACCTCATAGTATATATATACATGAGATATGAACACATAATATAGCAAAATATGAGTATGCCACTGGATTCCAGCTTCAGTTAGCAATTAGATATCTGAAAGTTCTACCAATCACTACATCACCATCTCATGTAATGGGAACAGAGGAATTTAGAACAATCAATTTGTGGCTGTGAGTGTGGATGTCTTGCATTTCCCAAAATAAACTAGCAGAAAAATCTACAACAAAAACTAATAGAAGAAGTTTAAGCTTTTTCCATAGTAAATGAGAGAGAGAGACAGAGAGAAGCGGAGAAAGAAAAACGACAGAACAGTGCTAAGAAGACATGTGTCACCTGACTCCTGAGGCAAGTTTTATAACAATTAGATTCATGTATTAACAATCTATCATCTACAACGTTTGTTAAATTACACAGTGAGCATGAACATAAAATTGATGATGTGGTGAAGACAATTCACAGTGAGTCAGTTTCTCTCATAATTTGCATGTCTTTTACCTAGTCAAAATGTATCAAAGTCTTGTTTAAGAATTAAGACAAGAAGTTTCCAGTGAACTATGTACCAAAGGTGATGCTACCTAGCTAGACATGGTTTCTACCATGTAAACAGGAAGATTTAAAAAGCAAAGGTGAAACTCACAGTGTTCAATGTCTCTGGGACGCAGAAGATAGCTTGCACATCAGCATGATTCACAACATACTTAACTGCATCAGGACCTGCACACAGAATCAAAGATTGTAAGAATAGGCCTTATGTATCAAGAAAGATGCATTTTTTTATCAGTCATATGCATACCAAGTGTGTCATATAAGGGAACCGAAATATAAGAGTATGCAGTACAAGCATAATCCACAATCAACCACTCTGGTCTATTAACAAAATAGAGTCCAATGCAAGCTCCCTGTTCCACAAGAAACAAATTGAAATCAAAGCAACTGCATTAACAGTAACATGTCACATGGAAGAATGAGTTTTCATTCAAGTATTACTAAAGAGATCAGCAACATAGTGTCAGCTAATACACAAGCGAAGTATCAGATTACAGCATATCAAACATTACAGCACATGTGAAAACAATTCCACCACAAATTCTATTTTTAAGAAAAGAATTCCTAAACAATACAAATCCAAATTATCTAGAGAATGACTAACTTTTTGTAACCCATGATAACGAAGGGCAGAACCTATTGCTTCCCTAGCAACACCAGCTTCTCCGTATGTCATCCATGTATACCTTTCATTTATAAACAAGTAAAAATGATTCAGGAAAAAAAAACACACACATGCACACACACACACACACACACAAAGCAGTCACTTAATTAACCTTATCTTTAATGATTAATTCATCAAAAAAATACAATATAATAGAATCAAATTCCATTAATCAACAACTCACTCTCCAACAGACCCATCTGCCCGAACACGTGTGCCCAAGTACTTGTAATCTCCAAAAGTTTTAACAGCATGTCTACAAACAAACAAACATAAAAATCATATCTGATAAGTACCAATTCAATTACTTACGCCTAAGCTTTTTCATTAACCAACCATTTGTGTTTCAATTTCAAAATTAGAGACCCTTTAAACAACATACCAAGAAAAGGAGTAGTTGAGATTCTTACACAAAGCTATCGTGTAATGTCTCAATCTCAGGGTGATCGTCAAACCTACTTACAATCTTCATTGGCGACCGTGCAGATCTACCATTACATAAACAAGTAGAATTTCACAATCAAAGCAATTCTTAACTAATTAATTACTGCAAAAAAGCTATAATTAAATGTAAACTAATTATAGTTTACCTATACACATTCCACTTCCCTGTTTGCAATTTCTCCGGTAAAGAAACACTGTACTGTTGGCCTACAGGTCAAACAAAAACCAATTAAAAAAAAAAAAAGAAAAAGAAATCTTCAATCACACAAACATTAACAAATTAGTAAATAAACCATTAAAATGTTTTTGATAACAATCCGATTGGTAGTTATAAATTACTTGCAAGCAATCAAAACAAATTAGTAACTTCTTTAACCGCTTCAATGAACTAAAACCGTTAAAAAAACATTGCAAACAAAAATCAAAGATTTATTCAGAATTAGCCAACGCCTAAATCTAGCAACCAAAAAAATGATATAAACTTGAAACATAATCTAATGCAGACAAGTATCAATGTAAGCATGCAAGAAGAGAGAGAAATATTACGGTGAACGAACTCTACGGAGGAGGTGAGGTTAGTTTGGAGGTCGGACTGATCGTCTGTGGTGGAGGAGAGGAGGTGACTCTGGATAGCTTTGAGACGCCGTTGAGCTGGTGAATCCATGGAGAGAAATTTTTTAAAATTTTCTCGAGAAAATGAGGTTTGGCTTCTGCTTGTTTGGAGGGAAAGATAATATTGGAAATGATTTGCTTGATTGTTTTTGCTTTGTTTATTTGTTAGAGTGAGCCATGATAATTATTGGAGGGGATAGGGATGGGTCAGGGGTGGGCACGGATTTGAAGACGGAGTGATGGCATGGCATTCACGTGACATGTGTACGCATTTTTTGTTAAGAAAAAATATCAAATTAGTCATTTCATTAACAGTAAATTATTAAATAGTCCCTTAAAAATATGTTTTCCTCGTCGTATCTGAAAAGTCATAATTCTTCGATCAAAATAGTCTACGTAACTAACTAGGAGCTTGTTATTTACAGCCAACTGTCAGTTTTGGCAAAACCAACACTTACCCAATCTTACTGATTGCTTTCACAAAACCAATAATTTTTTTTAATTACTTTTTAGACAGCGGAGTAATTTTAAATCAATTTTTTCATTAATCAAATTAGACTCGTTATTTTCTACATTACGTGAAGATTAAATTACATCTAATTTTTAATTGATTTTTAGTATATTTAAAAAAAAATCATGTGTGATGCCACGAAAAAAGGATGAAAGAATTTTAAAAAAAATGAGAATATAAGTAAAAATAAGAAAATATTAAATAATAAATATAAAATTAGGTGGAATTTTACAAATATTTAAAACACATCGTCTTTCTACGAACATCCTTATATTTATTATGTACTTTGACTGGTAGATTTCGTCTAGGATTCCAGTTGGTAGCTAGGCTTTTAGAGTTTTTGGAGTTTTTTCCCCCCTCTCAAAAAGCAATTTAAACGTGTTTGGTAAAATACATAACACTCTTGAGTCTTATTTTATATATTAAAAAAAAGCTTTGGAAAATATATCTTGATAAATACATTTTGCAACCACAAAACATAACTATCGTAGCTGCAACATCAAAACAACTTCAACCACGACACAACCATAGTTAAAGCCCCAACTGACAACTGTACCAAGCGAAGCACATCATTTGTTATTCGTTTAGCACCTTTAAAATTGTCCCCACGTGGATCTTTGACAGAATATATTTATTACAGACATCGACCGGAACTCCGGAAGACCTTTTTGAAACATATGTAAGCTTTTGAGGACTTAATTGATAAAATGGCGATTTCGTGATGTCTGGGGTGATTAGATTATTTATATTGGGCTTGCGTTGGTGGCTTTTATGGCTGTTGATGCCCGTTTTAAGCATTTTGAGCACGCGCCAAACACCGTCTTAATTTTATTATCTTCGCCAGTCTGGAAGCAAGATATCCGGTGAAGGACACATGCTCTCTGATCTTGCTGTTTAAAAATATGAAGAAAGAATATAGAGAAAATGAGGTTTTCTCAAATATAAAACTAATTGGATTAATAGTTTAATTTTTTTTATGTAATAAGATAACTTCTTAATATATTCTTATGTTGTAATTGAGCCAATTTGGTTATTGAATATCCATTAAAATTTTAATCTATCGTTTTTACAAGATTTTTTTATTAAACCACTGAAATTAGTCACGTGATTATTTTTTTCTTAAAATATTTTTATAAATTAGACAAATAAAAGATTTTCATGTATAAATTAAGTGATCAATTTTAGTGCTTTATCATAAAAATCTTGACAAGAAGATAGACTAGAAACTTAAAGCTTGTTTGATAAATATTATTGTTGAACATATTAAGGCTCTATACATGATAATTTTAACTTTGTAATTGTAACATGATATTTTTTAATAAAAATGTGTGTGTGTGTGTGTATAAATAAATAAATTAAAAATTAAATAAATAAATTATTAATAAAAAAATTAAATATGATATAAGATGACATTAATTATCGTATTATGCATAAAACAAATGAAATCTTAAATACTAGTTTGCAATTTGGTCTCGCAAAATAATCTAAAGTGCCGGCGCCCCTCCTCCGATTAATGATAAACGTGCAATAACATTTGGTGTTTGATGCATTACATAATCGCCATCAAATTGTTCAAAAAAGCTATCGGTAACAATTGTTCTTTCAAGATAATTACGTATTGCAACACATGCAACAACGATATCTCTCTAAACTACAAATAGATATAGGGCCATTGTCTTTAGAATTGTTTTTAGAACACTAAATGCTCATTCAACGACGTTCCTCAATTTTGCATATGCATGATTAAATACTTCTTCTTTTGATATTGGATGATGAACATATATTATAACATGATGCTATAAACTCTCTAGTATGTGCATATATAACATCACAAAGATAATGTTTATAGATTACTGAATTGATCTGTCATTATATTATAAGATAACACTTAAATTTATCTTTATATCCTTAATTTAATTATTTTTATTCTTTATTATATGCTAAGTTAATCCATCATTTTAGGAGGATTTCGAAGTCAAACTAATAAAATCAGTCATGTGATTTGTACAAGATTATTTTTTATTTTCAATTTTTTTTTTTACAAATCACACAAATGAAAAACTTTTATATATAAATTATGTAACTAATTCAGTTAATTTAGATTGAAAATTTTACTAGAAAAATATCATATTATATATATAAATATTTAACCATTAACCCTTAATTTGTGATCTTATTGGTTGGATTTAACCATTATCTCTAGAAAAATTTTCTTCCGTTGCCAGGCGGAAAGAAAAAGCGGAGAAACATGACAGTTTAAGGGAGAGTCTTAGACCTCCAGAATCAAATTGATAAACAATTCCAGCCGCTTTGTACCAACAAACTCACCTGGTCGCCTTGAAAGAAGACAAGGACCAGCGAATGGGTTTGAACTCCCTCCTCTAACTAAATTCTTATGTGAAGTCCTAATAAATTTGAAGGATATCAATAAAAAATCATACAAAAAGAAAAAAATATCAATGATGACGGGATTAGAAAAACACAAAGCAATATAAATCAAAATCTAAAAACTAAAATAGCTTAATCTACACAAAAAAGAATCAATCTTTCTCTAAAAAAAATATATGAAAAAAAATTGATTAAGATATCAACATATACGAAGGAAAATCATTTGTAATAAAATGGAAGAATTTTTATCTATAATGGGATTAGACTTTAGCGTTTTAGATTTCGAGATGGAGGCTTCCTTTGTTTTAGCAATTGGGATTGTAAAGATTATTTTTTAATTGGTTTGTATAGTTAAAATTATAAGAATATATAACGACGATATAATCATATTTAAAAAGTTTTAAAAATCTTTTAACTTAGCGTGTTAATGAAAAAGTAATAAGTTAAAAAATTTAACTTAGCTAATTAATTAAATTTTGACTGAGTGTAAATTTTTAATATGAGATTATTTAGATCATCAAACAAACTTGTTATATTAAGTACTACAACTTAATTTTTTAAACTACTTAAATAGGTTATCAAACACCTTTTTATTGTATGTTCAAGTATAGAATTGATTAAACTAATACTATAATAACATATTGAAGAATTACTCTATTATATAAAGACAAATTAAGCCATTAATCTAAACTAATGTACTTGTTGAACCTTAAAAATTTCTCTTAAATTATTTTATTGTAATTTTATACTTTTCTAAACAAAAATGCTTTTTTCTCGATATTAAGCTTAATAACAAGAATATGATGTAATATCCCTCACCGTTGGAAAAATAAAGGTAATTTGTTTAGACTTGGTCAGGATGGAAGTTTTTATTTTATTTTACAAACCTAATCGTTATTTTGTTAAAAGATTTAAAAAATCATACGTAGAATCCTCTATTTAATAAATGAGGATGAAATTTAATCTTTGCAAAGTTAAAAAATTAATCTCGATATATAAAAACATTTATAGAAATATTCACACGTCTTAAAAAAAAAAACAAAAACAAAAATAAAAACTCTTTTTACTTATGACGATTTTAGCATGTCTTTTTTGGGTAAATTTTTGTTTGAAAAATTATAGCAGGACTCTTATTTCAATCCAAAGCCTTATTTAAGGTAGATCTAATCTAAAATATAGTGTTAAAAAAAATGCTGCAAAGAAAATAAAGCAAGTTTTAAAAAAATTACTCAACTATATAAGTAATGTCAACGTTATTATCAAATAATTTTTTATATCAATTTTACCTTTAATTTTTTAGAAATTCTTGATAAAAGTTTTTATCCGTTTTTAAGATTAATCTAAATTATATTGTTTTTTATTAAAAAATAATGTAGGTTTGTAAAAAAGTTAATGCTTTTGTAAATGATTTTAACATAAATCTTTAATCAAAAGATCAAAATAATTTAATAGTAAAATTGATTAAAAAAATAATTTAAATGCAAAATCGGTAACAATCTAATAGTTCGGTGATATATTTAACGTTTGCCTAGAAAATATGGTTTAGCCTTACACTGTAATTTTATTCGTAATAATTTTTAATTATTACTGTATGCTACGAAGAATCATGACATGATCTTAAAATATATTTATTCGGATCTTCAAACTTAAAAATTTCATCAACATCTGTCCGCGAGTCCTGACAATTGTAAAGAAACAATGTCATGCTCGTGGTGGATATATTCCAATTTTTTTTAATAAAAATATATTCAGCAATGCTGATCATAGTTTATATCATCTTTTCGGATTTGAATTCAAATGAAAATTTTGGGAAGTAAATTTTACTTTATTAGCTTTAATTTTAGGTATGGATATAATCTGTATTTCTTAAAATTATTTAAAGAGAGATTGAAATATATCGATATAGTCCGCAAAAAAATAATTTAAAGATATCTATAACATCCCCAACTTAGGACCTAATAAGTTGAGAATATTACCATCGTTAGCCACATTCGAAGTGCAATGAATGTAAGCTAACAAGACACTATGATCTTATTGTAATGTATGTAAGAATATTTACGTGGCAAAAATATTTTAATGACGTTCGAGTCTTATTTATTACATCAACTTCGCTATAAATTTTTTCGCGTTTATTTATCATGATATTTTATTTT